TTCCTGTTAGAGTATCTTCCACTGTCAACATCTCTTAATAACTCTAAGACATGACTTTATTGATAAGAATTGGAGTTAGATTCAACTCTTCTGGAACACTTCTATCTCTCATCTTTCCCAACACTTACCGTTCTCCAATATGAATAGCAGGGTTAGTAATTTACACTAGAACAATGCATTGAACTACTTTTTTAAGAAAATAACTCTAAATCGGTAGGTTTCCATCCGTCTTTTACGTGGCCTTTGCCGAACTCTATAGGGATTCCTTGGCAATACCTGGCTGGTTCTACCAACATTTTCTTTAATAAATGCATAGTATGATCGGAGTTCCTGCCTTCCTGCTTTCGCTTCCTGCTAGACATCTGCGGCCGAAGACAGGCTGGGCAGGGTTACCAGCACATCGCCAACCCTACAGTCTCCCAGAGGGTCAGCTGAGCTGCAGGGACAGAGTGAGAGTGAAGACAGCAGCCCTGACCTGTGGGGTGTCTAAGCACGATACATTGACTCTCCTGATAGACTAGCACGGGCCTTTGTGGCCAGGAAACCAGGCTGTAGTGTAATGTGGCATTGCCCCCTCGCCCAGCTTAGTGACAGTTCCCATAAAGGCTGGGACAGAGGAGGAATCAATGCTTGGAGGCTCCTGGTGCAGCCAGGGCTATGCATGGCCCCCGTCCCCTTGGTCTCTCTAAGTCCCCTCCAGCAACAGATGTGCCCACACGGTTGCTTTTCTGTCTTTCAATGAGCGCCTGTCAGGACCCGTGCAAGTGGGTGTTCAGACTTGCCCCTAGAACTGAGCCTGTATTTAACATTGAAGCATCATCTGGACCTCGATTCTTCTCACCCAACCTTCTCTCACCATCCTGGTCATCCCTGACCGGGGAGCAGCTTTCCAGCTGCGAAGACCACTCCTCACCCGGGGAAGAGTACCCTTGGCCTGCCTTCAGCAATTTAATCATACACTTCAAAGCCCTTCTCCCTCAAGATAATTTTTTTTTCCCTTGCCTAAATCCAAAAGACAGTGGGCTTGTTTGTAGATAGTCACAGAATGCCCGTTTGTGAACAGGTTCCTGGCTACTGACCTGGCCGACCTACAGGGTGGGCGATGCATTCGCTTTGCTCCATATGTGTTCAGGGCACAGAGACTCAGATGCCCATGCTTGCTGCTCACGGGGCCCTTTTGGCTAGGGGGAAAGCCACAAGCCCAGGTCAGCAAACTGGGCAGCAAAGGACACTTTGGAGGAAGGGAACAGAACAGGGGATGGAGGTTCATGGCCCAGCTCTGCCTCTCCCCAGCTGGGTCCCTTCTAGCAGGCCCTTCTCCGTATCCATCATTGCAACACTCCCGTCCCCAGCCTCCCAGAGCCGCTATGAGTGTGTACAGGTCGATGCTCTATAGCTAGATGCTAAACAACTCGAAGGGGTTAGTTTGCTAGTTAACATAGGTCCTATTGCTCTGGGCTGCACTATCATATACATTAGGATGATTAATTAGAGGAAAATTTTTAACAAAAGAGCCAAACAGCTGTTGTTTATGGTTTAAAAAAGTGAATTTTGGCCGGGCGTGGTGGCTCACACCTGTAATCCTAGCACTCTGGGAGGCCGCGGTGGGTGGATTGTTTGAGCTCAGGAGTTCGAAACCAACCTGAGCGAGAGTGAGACCCCATCTCTACTAAAAATAGAAAGAAATTAATCTGACAACTAAAAATATATAGAAAAAATTAGCTGGGCATGGTGGCGCATGCCTGTAGTCCCAGCTGCTCGGGAGGCTGAGGCAGGAGGATCGCTTGAGCCCAGGAGTTTGAGGGTTGCTGTGAGCTAGGCTAACGCCACGGCACTCTAGCCTGGGCAACTGAGTGAGACTCTGTCTCAAAAAAAAAAAAAAAAAAATGAATTTTTTCAAAGGGAGGGATATGCTTTTCTGGTGTTACAAAATGCCCTTAAGTCCTTCACCAGCCTTTGACACCTCTCCCTAGTGGGCCAGAGGTCCCGGAGACCCAGTGCTACTGATGGGAATGCATTGTGGTCCCAGCAGTGTTGGTGCAAAACAAGGTTGAGAACAACAGGTTTGTGAAGACTGGATTCCTTAAAGGCAGGAGACTGGCCAGGTAGCAGCGGCTCGGACGTCCTCTGACTCTATATTCTCATGGCCATGGGCAGCTGCTGAGATTTAAGGACTGCACGAAAAGAGACTGTCTCCTCTGTGATGGAAAAGCCTAAAACACTCAGACATCCATCGCAGCCTGTCTTACAATTCAGCTCTCACCAACATAAGGCACCCTGCATAGATACTCTTTCTCACCCACCCCTTTTTGATGGTGTTGGATGCATTGGACAAACCTTAAAATATGGAACATATTTCCAAACCTCTCCCTGGAGCTGTGGCTTCCATAGTATCCACTCTTGGAGGGAATTTCTGAAAGAGGAGAAGAACAAGCAGCTATAGAGATACAAAGACCCTGGACCACAGAATCAGAACCCATCAGGCTCTCTCAAGCCAGCTCCCCATCACCTTCCCTCCCTGATCTATAGACGAGAGGTGACAGTTCCCACCTATGGTTCATGTGGCACTAGGTCTTACAGCCTAGTGCCTGGTGGAGAAAGGGCCACCAGCCCCCCATTTCCCAAGGGAAAGAACCACAGAGAGCCTAGGATCTTGAATACAAGGCCTAATTTGGAACCTAGAGTCACCTTAGAGGAAAGACTTGATTAATGAAGACTCAGTTGATGTATGGCCTTTATGAAGAATAACATCAAGTGCCTTAAAAATGCAGCTGGCCCTTGAACAACACTGGTTTGAACTGCACGGGTCCATTTACATGCAGGTTTTTTCCAATAAATACATTGGAAAATTTTTTGGAGATTTGCAACAATTTTAAAAAACTTACAAGTCATGGAGCCTAGAAATATGGAAAAATTACAAAAAGTTAAGTGTGTCATGAATACATAAAATATATTTAGATACTAGTTTATCATTTACTACTATGAAATATATGCAAATCTATTATAAAGTTAAAATTTATCTAAACTTGTGCATACACAGACTGTATAAGGCGCCATTTGAAGTTGAGAGAAATGTAAACAAACATGAAGACACAGTGTTAAATCATAACTGCATAAAGTTAACTGTAGTCCATGCTGTACTGCTGTAATAATTTCGTAGCCACCTCCTGTTGCTATTGCAGTGACCTCACGTGTTGGAGTATCTGCTTAAAATGTCATGTGAGGCCAGGCATGGTGGCTCACGCCTGTAATCCTAGC